CAGGCAGAAGGACCGAAGTACACTGCTGAGGGGAGCAGCGGGCGGCAGGAGAGGTCTGCGCGCCATGTGGGACCCTCCTCCGGTGGCCGGGGAGCAGCCGGGGATGAACCGGCGCCGCAGAGGCTGTGGGCAGCTTCGTAACCCAGCGCTCAACCGCTGCACCATTGGGGAGGCCCCAGGTTCTATATGTTATGTCGTGTATACTTCATGAAAAACATTTCAGTGGGGTGTGTGTGTAAAAATAAAGTATTACATTTTCCTCTCTAGATGCATTGTTTTTTTCCTTCTATCTTTCTTTTCTGTCACTATTCTGTTCATTTTTTCCTTCTCTACTATTCCATTACCCTGTCATTTCTGGGTCTGCTTCTATGAACTCATTTTTGTTCTGGTTACAGGTCACATTTCCTATATGTTGGCATGCCTGGTGATTTTGTTTGGGTACCAGGCATTGTGGATTTTATGTTGTTGAGTAACTGCATTTTTTTGGTCTTCCTTTAAAGAGTGATGGGCTTTGTTCTGGTAGGCGGTTTAGTTACCTGTGGTTCAATTCGAACCTTCTGAAGCTTGCTTTTAAACTGCTAAAGGGCAACTATAGCGTACCCTTTAATCTAGAGAATAATTTACCCCTGGAGTAAAGCACGGCCCTTCTGAGGTCTCTACTGAAGCCCTGCGTGATCAGCAATGACTAGCCGCTGTGGCTGCATGGACCTTGACTTTGTGTCCCTGTCCTGGGAACTGTCTGTCCACTCGTTTCCTTCAATGCCTCTTAGTACCTGGCCTTGTGAAGTTTCATGCTGTGATTGTGCATCTTGTGTACAGCAAAGACTCGAGAGAACCCATAAACAGATTTCAGGAGGTCTCTTTCTTCACAACCCCCTCCTATCCAGAACTTTGTCCATCCACTGCCAGCCACCTTAATCCTGAACTCTGTCTTCCATTACATCAGTTCGCAAGACCACTGTGCTCTGGTTGGGGTCTCCCTATTTGCTCGTGGTCTGCAAATTGCCTCCAGGAAGAAATCCAGGGCAATTGTAAAGTTTACCTCTTTTATTTCCCCTCTCAGGTAGTACTAAACTACCTGTTGTTCAGAGGCTGAAAGCACTATTCACATATTTTGTCTAGTTTTCTAGTTGTGTTAGGAAAGTAAATCTGGTCCTTGTTATTCTGCTACAACAAGAAGCATCAATATGTGGTTAATTCTTAATTTAGCCTTGAGGTCTCAGATTAGAAGTGACTTCCTAAATCCCAAATTTGTTAGGTTTCCTCCTAACAAATTGTAACCGCCCTGGTTCACTTTTTTTTAAAGATTTATTTATGGGGCCTCCCTGATGGCTCAAGGGGTTAAGCACAACACTGTAAAGCTGTCCGCAGCCTCTGCAACACAAGTTCTATCCCTGGCGGGCCAGGGAGCTACCCACATGGTGTGTGCTTGCTGTTGCTCTCCTCAGCAGTGTATTTCAGTCAGTCTGCCTGTTCTGTTCCCTACTCTGCTCTGGTGAATCCTCTCACCACCCTCCCCCTGCCCCTCCCAGTTCTTGTATGCATAAACAAATCTGCATATAAGAGCTAGGGTACAGGCCAGAGGTGGGGAGGGGAAGATTTACCAGAGACAGAGTGGGGAGCAGAACAGGTGGATTGACTGAAATACACTGCTGAGGGGAGCAGTAGGCGAGACAGGAGAGGTCTGCTGCACCATATGGGTAGCTCCCTGGCAGGCTGGGGATCTAACTCGTGCTGCAGTGGCTGGGGATAGCTTGATAGTGCTGTCTTTAACCCCTGCGCCACCAGGGAGGCCCCCCCATTCACTTTTTTGTATCCCTCTGGGGACTACAAACTCTTCAAGGGCAGGATGTCCTCTGTCTGGTTTTTACTGCCCCAGCACTCATCACAAGGCTTGATGCATTCACTCAATGAATATGCATTGAATGAGTGACTGATGACTCAGATGAGCTGGAAAACAAGGAAGCAAATTGGAAAGTCTAAAGTGCAGGTGAAAGGGCTAACTTAGAACTTCAGCACTGTTTAATTTTCAAAAGGTGTGAATGGACCAAACTTAAGAGTTGTTACCTGTTGGCGGTGGGAGGAGTGAGAGCTTAGGTGAGGCTTCTTTGACTTTTTCTTTCTTTTTAAAAAAATCAACTTTATTGAAGTGTAATTGACGGAGAATATTTGAATGTTTGAGCTAAACATTTGGATGCACTAAGCTTTTTTTTTTTTTTAAAAAAAAGATTTATTTATGCATGCAAGAACTGGGGTCCAGGCCAGAGGTGTGGGGGGTGAGAGGATTCACCAGAGACAGAGTGGGGAACAGAACAGACAGATGTACTGAAATACACTGCTGAGGGGAGCAGTGGACAAGACAGGAGAGGTCTGCTGTGCCATGTGGGTAGCTCCCTGGCCGGGGATCAAACTCGTGCTGCAGTAGCTGCTGACAGCTTCTGTCTTAAGCCCTTGTGCCACCAAGGAGGCCCTTACACTAGGCTTTTTAAGGGCAGGATCTTTGTCTTGCTGACTGCCTGAAGTTCCCAAGTTCACAGCGCCAGCTTACTTATAGTCACTGGGTACCTACTGTTGAATAAATAGATTCCAAAAGATTAGATAATCAAATGAAAAAAATTAAAATTATCAAACCTCTAGAAAAACATAAGGTGAATAGCAAATATTTATCCATGTTGTATTGGAAAAACTTGCTAAGTATTATAATTAAAAAAAAAAAAAGGAAGCAAACCACCTGGGAAAGATGATTAGATTCAACTATGTAAACATGGACATCTATTTCCATAATCCTCTCCCGAATGCAAATAATATTTCCATCCAATGAGAAATACTAGTGTTTATCTAAATTCAATAATAAAAAATAAATACATAAAATCTCAGTAAGAAACAACTGAGCAACCCAGTAGAAAAACGGGTATGGGCCTCCCTGGTGGTGCAGGGGTTAAAGACACAGTGCTGTCAAGCTATGGGCAGTCACTGCAGTATGAGTTTGATCCTGGCCAGGTTGCTGACCCACATGGCGCAGCAGATCTTCCTGTCTCGCCTGCTGCTCCCCTCAGCATTGAATTTCAGTCAGTCTGCTCTTTCTATTCCCCACTCTGTCTCTGGGGAATCCTCTCACCCCCACCCCACACCTCTCGCCTGTACCCCAGTACTTGTATGCATAAAATAAAAATTTTTTAAAAGATTTTATTTATGCGTACAAGAACTGGGGAACAGGCCAGAGGTGTGGGGAGGGGGTGAGAGGATTCACCAGAGACAGAGTGGGGAACAGAACAGGCAGACTGACTGAAATATAATGCTGAGGGGAGCAGTGGGCGAGACAGGAGAGGTCGGCTGTGCTATGTGGGTAGCTCCCTGGCCAGCCAGGTCTTGAACTCGTGCTGCAGAGGCTGCAGATAGCTTCACAGTGCTGTGCTTAATCCCTTGAGCCACCAGGGAGGCCCAAGACAGCAATTATTGAAGGGTATTGGTGACCTCTGGGGCTGCAGAGACCCATTCGAGGGTTCATGATTATTTTCATAATACTGATGTTGTTTGCCTTTCAGTTTATTGACATTTGTGCTGGGGATATTAAAACAATGGTGGCCATTAATACGAAACAAGAAAGTGGCATCAACCTGTCCTCGTCATATTCTTTTTTTTTTTTTTTAAAGATTCATTTATTTATGCATACAAGAGCTGGGGTACAGATCAGAGATACGGGGGGTGAGAGGATTCACCAGAGACAGAAAGGGGAGCAGAACAGGCAGATTGACCAAAGTACACTGCGAAGGAGAGCAGCGGGCGAGTCAGGAGAGGTCTGCTGCACCATGTGGGTAGCTCCTTGGCTGGCCAGGGATTGAACTCGTGCTGCAGTGGCTGCAAATAGCTTCATAGGTTGTGTCTTAACCCTTGCACCACCAGGGAGTCCCTGTCCTTGTCATGTTCTTCACCACTACATGCCACTCCTACCTATGAAAGCTCTTGATGATGGATTGTTAAATCTTGGTCCTTGAGTTCACATTTTAAAAAATAGACTTTACTTTTTAGAGTAGCTTTAGGTTCATAGCAAAACTGAGCAGAAATAACAGAGGTCCCACGTCCTCCCTGCCCCCACACTTACACAACTTTGCCCATATTAAGATAAAACTACACTGATACATGACAATCACCCAGAGTCCATCATTTATGTTAGGGCTCATTTTTAAAGCTGTATATTCTATGGATTTTTATAAATGTATAAATGACAAGTATCCACCACTAGTGTATCATATAAAGTGGTTTCACTGCCTTAAAAATTCTTCTGTGCTCTTTTTATCCTGTCATCACCCAACTTCCTTGCCCCAACCCTGCAATTCCTGATGTTTTTACTGTCTCCATAGTTTTGCCTTATCTGAAAGTCATATAGTTGGGGTCACGCAGTCTGTAGACTTTTCAGACTGGCTTCTTACCACTTAGTAATAGCCATTTAAAAGTCCTCCATGTCTTCTCAAGTCTTGGCAGCTCATTTTGTTTTATTGTTGAGTAACATTCCATTGTCAGAATGTGTTAATTTATCCATTTACCTACAGAAGGACATCTTTGTTGCTTCCACATTTGGGCGATTATGGGTAAAGCTGTTATTCATGTGCATGTTTTAGTGTGGACATGTTTTCAGCTGATTTGGGTAAAAACCACACATCATGACTGCTGAATTGTATGAATGGAATTGCTTGGTCAGATGATAACTTTTTTTTAACAGTTTAAGGAATTGCCAAACTGATTTTCAAAGCTCCTGTCCCATGATACATTCCTACTAGCGATATATATGACTCTTGGAATCAAATACTCTTTTTAAAGAACCACTGTTTCAGGTAGAATGTAGTAGGTGGAAGGGAATGGCGTTCAATGGATGGGTTGAGTGAGGCGAGGGGAGGGGTGAATATGGGAAGTGGGGTGAGAGATCGGAGAGCCCTGCCAGTAACCTTGACTCCAGTATCAACTGGCCAGTCTCCTCTGAACCCCATGTGATTCCCAAACAGGACCAACCAACTCCTTGTGAGCCTGAGATTGACCTCGAGGTGCTCATGGATCTATCCACAGAGGCGCAGAAGACTCAGCTGAAGGTAGAATGTGGGGCTGGGTCCTGGCCCAGGGGTTGGGGGATGAAAGCTGGGCTTGGACAGAGGGGAACCCAGGTTCCCTCCTTGAGTGGAGTGGGGAGAACTAATTCGCAGCAGAACGTATTTTAGAGACCAGTGGGGGCTTGTGGGAAGGTGCTGTGACTCGGGACCCACTTTCTCCTTTCTTCTACCCAGGATATTCTCCAAAACTGTGCCCGTCCCACAGAGGTAAGAGATGCTTCACTCTGGGGATGAGGTGAGACCTAGTGGGGAGGCAGCCAATGAAGTGGGAGTGTTTGGAACAAAGGCTTGGCCCTCGGCCTTTCTCCCTCTCCCCAGCTCCAGGGACATAGGGTCTGGAGGAGATTAGGCTGGGCAATGTGGTGGCCACTCTGCCTTCATTTCACCCCCGTTTCTCTTTCAGCCTTTTATCTCTGAGCTGCTCAGTCAACTCAAGAAACTCCGGAGACTTAGTCGGCCTCAGAAATAAGTCTTGTGAGACTACCTCCAGCAACCTCAGCACTGCCAGACCTTCCCTGCGGATCCTGGACTGAGAGGAAAACAGCTCCTTGGGACAAAGACAAGAGCTGTGGAGGATAAGGGGGGCCATTTGAACACCCTTAGTGTACAAGTTGCCACACCTAGTTCCTGTCACCTGGGTTTTCTGGGAGCCAGTCATGGCTGTTATCCAATGTTTTCCTTGGCAGCCAAGTGGATAAAATCTTTAGGTGTCTTTAACATTTTTTTTTTTGGATTTATTTATTTATACGAGCACTGGGTACAGTCAGAAGCACAGGAGGGTGAGAGAATTCACCAGAGCCAGAGCGGGGAGCAGAACAGGCAGACTGACGAAGTACACTGCTGAGGGGAGCAGCAGGCACAGCAGGAGAGTTCTGTGTGCCATGTGGGACCCTCGCCGGGGATAGAACCGGCACCGAGAGGCTGCAGGCAGCTTTGCATCCCGGCGCTCAACTGCTGTGCCACCGGGGAGGCCCTAGGTGTCTTTAGTTGAAAGGAGTGTGGAGCATATCTGTGTGAGGGACAGGGGAGAGTAAGGGTGAAGTGATATACCTGAAGCCAGTATCCTGAGTCACTAGGCTCTATCCACATATTTCATCCACCCACCTATCCATCCATCCATTCATCCATCCATCCATCCATCCATCCGTAAGAATTCAAAGATCAAGTTCCCGGTTGCTTCAGAATCACAATCGACCAAAGCCCAAAGGCCAAGCAGAGGGCACCTGGCTAAGACACACAGCATCTTAACATCACCAACAGGAGCCCCAGTGACAAAGACATTTGGAGTCCTGGAGGACAGGTACAGAAAAAACCAACTAGGGCTTGGGGGCATCAGAAAAGACTGTTTTCCTCTACCTCTAAATGATACAGGAGGTTTCTTGAGGTGGCTCCAGGCAGAGGCAGGAAAAGAAAAGGCACGGGCTAAGTAAAGGGGTGTAAGGGGTACAGATATGAGGCCAGGAGTCTGGTCAGGAGAGAGTTGCTAGAAATAGACAGTGGGTCTGAATGGCAGGTAGGTTGGAACGGGAACACTGGGGGGGGGGTGGTGTCCTTTGGGCATAAGAAGGGCAGCAGGGACTCACTGCGCGTGCATGCATTATCTAAGTACTAGAGAGACTGAAAAACCCAAAATGTTGGGGTCTGGGGTCTGAGCTGGGCTGCCCAGCACAAACATGCATGCCTGCTGTATATGAATTTACCAGGATGGGGGGGTGAGGACTATCTCTGCCTGGATCCAGGATGGCACAAACTTTTCCCTCATTGCACAGGACTGAATTTATAGCCGACTTTATTCTTGCCGCTTCTTCAAGGACCCAGATTGGAACACAGGATTCTAGAGATAAATGATGCTCAGCCCAAGGAGTCAACATATTTTATTAGATCCACGAAGTGCCTGGGCACTTAAACCTGTTTTCAAGGCTCATCCTCGATTCAGTCTGGTCTTTTCCCTTCATGCCTCTCCCTCCCAACCCAAGTTTCAGTGCTGGAGGGCTCTCAGCTTCTGCCTTCCCTTTGATTCCTCCAGTCATTGTCTTGGATGGAGGATCTTTCTTCCTTCCAGAGATACCGAGGCTAAGGAAATGGCACATCTAGCAGGCTGACCCACTCTTTCACCAGATGCCCTGAGATGGTGCCCTAGCCTGTAGCACTGCCTTCCCGGGAGGCCCATGTTTTCCTCAGTGCTCTCGGCCTATATGTGGGGGGCGATAGGCAGATGTCTGGTGTTCTTTGAGTTCAAAGGCATCATGGCCTTCCCTGTAGAGCAAAGACATAAAGGTCAGGAATTTCAGTCAACTCTTGAGCCTCCCAGTCACACAGAACATTCTCCCTGCACCCACCGGAAGCAGCGGGCACAGTAGAGGTCTCCATCACAGCCAGTGCAGCGTAGGATGGCGTCCTCGTTGCAGATACAGCACCAGGGAAGCTCCTCTTCCTTTGCCTCAGGCTTGGGGACCATGGCCTGGGCCTTCAGGGACCAGAGAGGAATGGGGTGAGTATGGCACCCACTAGGATATGGGAGTGCTGCCGCCAGAAGAGTTGGTTAATAGGGAGTCAGGCTGGGGAGGGGGCGTTGGGGGTCTGGTCTGAGGCGTTTCTCACCTTAGGCTCTGCACTGTAGGATTGGGCCCGGGGCTGGAGAGCTGGCTCCGCAGGGATGTTGAAGCCACTTGCCTCATCCAGGGCAGCTTCCTCAGTGAGCTATGGACAGGGTGAGAAGGTATAGCACCCTGCTCTAGGCCCAGCCTCCCCTCCAGTGCTGTCACTTTAGTTTCTCAACTCATCTTCCTTTGCCTGTGGCTGCTGATTTCCCATCTCAAGGGGCCAGGGGGCAGGTCTGGGTCACAGGGATGGTGGGGCCGCAGCTGGAACAGGAGCTGCTGAGTGACCAACCATCCAACCCCAGAGTGGGGGCAGGGTGAATGGGGCCAGGTAGGGGTGGGGCAGGGAGGCAGAGGGAGGACAAGGGGTGGCTGGTTGAGTAAGGAGGGGCCCACCTGCTGCATGACTCTCTGGATGGCTGTCTCCTTATCCTCGTCGTCATCACTGTCTGGGAGGTGATAGTCCTGAAGAGTCACTTTAAGAGAAGGGGCGGGGGAGGAGTGAGGAGACCAGGAGTGGAAAGTTTGCCTGAGTGGCCCAACTCTTGCTGTGGCAGCTGGTTTGCTTCCCAGTGATACTTGTTCCAGAGCCAAGCAGCTCTACTCAGACCCTGGCCACTCCTACAGGGCTGGGGTTAGGAACGAAGGCCCTGAACCCGAAGAGACTAAGGGTGTCTTGCCCTCGACGGTGTCACTTAGTCCCCATTCACTGCTTTACCCTGGCTCCTTCCTGGTGGCTCTGGGCAGAGCTTGACAGACCCACAGGCACAGGACCCACCAGCACCTGACAGGAAGCGCAGCCATTTTGCAGAGCTTGGTTTGGAGGGGAAGGTGGATGGCCGGCCCAATGGACACAAATAGGCGGCTGTTCCCCAGCCTCTACCTCTACTGGGGTCCTGTCCCCGCAGCACAGCCAGTCGCTTGGCGATGGCCAGGATCTGCTCCTGCCGTGTGTTCTGCTCCCGCAGCTCTAGTGCTGCCTCGGCCAGCAGTCTGCTCTTTTCCTCCTCCAGGGTCCAGGAGGCCTGCCCCTTGGAATTAGTGCTCTGGCCTCTTGGGCCATCCTGGTTGAGGTGGTTCTGGACAGAGGTTGCTGAAAGGAGTGATGCAGTCAGGGAGGCAGAGTCATTCCAGGATCCCCCATCAGCAGCATCTGAGACCATTTCTCAACTATCTCAAACCATAGATCATCAGCTTTTCCTTCAGCACTAGCTCCTGTGGCTTGTATTACAAATGAAATGAGCATTTCCTCCATTTTTCCAAATGTGACAAACTAGTGATCTTGACATGTTTTGTCAACCACATCCATCCCTGCCCTTCTGACGTTTTAACACATTGCCCTCAGGATGTGAAGTCTCGCTTGTCACTAGGTGAAAGGAATTTTACCAGAGCGGGTGGTTCTAATACGGTCTTCTTTAACTCAGAGTTTCAGAGTAAGGGTAACAGCTCTGGATTCAAATCTTTTGGATTCAAGTGCCACTGCATAGCAGTGTAACCTTGGTCAAGATCCTTAAGCTCACCAGGGTTCAACTTTATCATGTATGAAAATTGGGTAGTAGTAGCATGTACCTCATAGGATTACTGAGCATAGTCAATGAGACTGTTTCTAAAGCAGGCTTTCTTAATCTTGGGCCTACTGACGTGTTGGACAAGATAATTCTTTGTGCTGGGGGCTGTCCTGGGCACTGTACATGCCGAGCAGCTTCCCTGGAGCAGCATCTGTTCACCAGATGCCTCTGAGTCATCTCGCACCCTCTGAGTCATGAGAGCCAAAAAGTCTCCAGATGTTGCCAAATGGGCCCTGGAGGGAAAATCATTCCTGGGTAAGAACCATTGCCCTGTAAAGCTCCTGTCAGGGCACTGTACAATAATAATATTTTTTATGATAACGGAAATGTGCTGTATCATGGTCTGTACCTGTGAGGTGCAAGATGGTAGTAATGAGCCACATGTGGCTACTTGAGCACTTAACATGTGGCTGTTACCACTTAAGGGCTGAACATTTAATTCTATTTAATATGAATTAAATTTACAGTCTTCCTCCTCCTTATCATCATGACCATCACAGAGAACATCCACTGAGTGCTTCCTATGAGGCAGGCAGAGTCCCAAGAGTAAACGAATTATCTCATTTACTCCTCATGACTTCCCAGGCTGTAAATTTCACCACACATACCTCCATTTTACAGATGAAGAAAGTGAGGCTTACATAGGTCAGGAAAGGTAAGGGTCACACAGCAAGTAAATGGTAGAAAGGGGAACCATTGTCTGGTTAACTCCATTGGTTGCCACTGGAGTTAACAATAAACAGTAGGTCTTATAACATTGACTGTTCTCTGATTTATATTTGCCTCCCAAAGGGTGGACAGTGGAGCCACTCCCACCTGGGAAAAGAGGTGGGGCAGGTTTCTAGGGGAGCCAGGTGTGGGGGGTTACCTGGGCCTCCTTGTTCCCAGCTCTCATCAATAGCCACCTCAGCTGTCAGTTGTGTCAGCAGATCCTGTGCCTGCTGGGCCTGGGTCCTAGTGTCTGGTGGCTGATGTGCCTGCTCAGAGGAGGGAATCTCAGTGGAAAGTGGGGTGGGGGGAAGACACACGGTAAGGCCCAGAACACCCTAGGTCAGGGGTGGATGATGATGAACTGTCAAAGCTCAGAGAGAGGGGATTAGTCCAGGGGCCGCATAATTGAGCTGATCTAGCAGTCCACAACAGGACTGAGGAGCCACTGTTACCTGCCCACCCAATCCTGCTTGTCCCTGGTTTCTTGGCCTGGCAGGCCTGAGGACCAGGAGGTGGGGGTGGGAGGCCATGCCAACTCCTGCAAAGTACATAAGCATGTCTGTATCTGGGCTTCTGCTGGGTCCTCACCCTCAGACCCCTTTCCTTTCCCTCCAGAGCCATAGCACTCACCGGCTGAGGGGTCTGAGAAGGTGGACCTCTGCCCTTCAGTGCAGCAAGCCGTGCCTCCATCTCCTGGGTGGAAGGAATGCAACCCTGGGGTTCGTCTCTCAGTGCAGCTAGCCTGGCTTCTATTTCCGCCTGTGAGGGCACTGACTCTGTAAGTGACGTGGCAGAATCTTGTAAGAGCCAAAGGAATCCCAGTCCAGGAGCCCTAGATGGTGTCCTTTAGGCCACCCTGCCTGTTCCCACTCACTGGGCTTGTTCTCCTGGCGGAGCCGTGCTAGGCGTTCAGCAATGAGCTGGTCTTGCTGGGTCAGTCCCTGGTTCTGGGGAGTGCTGGGCTTTTGCTTGGCTTCCAAGGCTGCTACACGCCTAGAAGGATATGAGATGAGAGACTTTGAAGAAGGCAGAAGGAAGGATGAAGGCACCATTCACTCATTTCTGGGCATCAAGAGTGGCCTTCAGTGGACAATCTTCTGTGGTGCTTGCTCATGTTGCTCTGTAGTACAATCCAGCTGACCAGCAGGAGGGTCCGGCAGAAAGAGCAGGTCTACCAAGAGCCTTTACTGGGGGAGCTGATGAGCTGCTTTCTGAGTCCAGAGAACAGTGAGGAGCCTGAGAGTGGCTGCTCTCCTGACTCTGAGTTCATTTAATCTAGAGGCTGCAAAGAGAGTCCTATGTCTCCCTTGTTCTTTTCCCATCCCTATTTGTCTCACTCTCGTCAGCACTTACTTCTTATAGTTCTGAGGTGGTGACCACTTGGAGGTGTTGGCAGGAGAAGATCCTCTATAGATGAGAAAGCTAGTGTCAGAAGTCCTGTCATCTGCCAGTCAGTGCCATCACCCCCCAAATACTTCCTGAACTGACCTCTAGCCACAGAGCACAAGGCTTCAGGGACGGTTAGCTGCCCACTGCCGTGCTTGGCTGAACCCTTGCCCATACTCCCATCTTACCTGGTTAGAACCTCATGACATTGCTTGCAGACTTTCTGTTGAGTGTTCCCAGCCCGGGGCACCACTGCATTGAAGTTAAGGCAGCCAGAACAGAAGGCCCGGCCACAATTCTTACAGCCATACTATAAGGAACACGAAGCAAGGGGATCCGTCTCTCACCCGCCCTTGCAGAGTGCTCCCTGCAACTCTCCAAGCACAACAGAGAGAAGACAATGAAGGTATGACTGGTTGCTGGGAGAAGAAAGAGGAGTTGGGCCCCTGAGGTCTTAGCAGAGACAGAGATTGTGGGTAAAGTGATACCTCAGTCGCCAATCTCATTCAAATTAAACAGTTTCATGCAAAATTCCCATGCTTTCTATCCTGTCTTTAATTCTCTGACAAAGGAATGTAGAAAATAGACAGGCCAAGGTCCATACTTCAGGTCACTGACTTAAACAGAGAGAATCAGAGAGTGCAGACCCATCCCTTCCCCACTGGAGAAGAAATGGAGGGAGGCAGGAATCAGGATGGGATGACAACAATAGCCTCCATTTATTAAGCACTTACTCTGTGCCAGGCACTAAACTCAGTGGTCAACATTCATCATGTGATTTTGCCCTCATAATTTATATATATATATTTTTCACTTTAGTAATTAAAAAAATTAGTTGTTTTATTTTCTTACATCATTGTTCATTTTTGTACAATATTTGATTTCTCCCCTCAGGTGTAGTCCCCGTGGTTCTCTCATCACCACATCACCTGTGAGCCATCACCACAGTCCCTTGTGCTCTTCCCTCCCCTGTTTCGACCCCCTTCATCTCCTCTCACCTCCTGCATGCCTCAGGTGTATAACTTGCCTGTTGCTTTTGTATACACATTATTTTATGAGCACCGTTATTATTTCTATTTTAGATGGGTCAGAGAAGTTATATGATTTGCCCAAACCAAGGTCACCCTGTGAATAAGGCAGCTCAACATTGAACCCTGATTCTAAAATCTAGATTTCTAAGTGCTATGAAGATCTGCCTCCTCCATATGCCATCCATTCATCCTATCTGCTTGCCACAATTGGGGCAGAGGAAGCCTACAGCTTACCAGGGCAACTTGGTGGTCTTGCTGAGGACAAGAGACACTTTCTGTAGGAGCAGGAATGAGGACAGTAATCTAAAGAAACCTGGGAACAGTAGGCAGAGTGATGGCCAAGGTTCCTGAGCAGAGAGTAACGGGCTTGGGGTGGTGGAAAGTGGTCACAAGATATAACTATTGGGTTACAGAGAAGCAGAATAGAGGGAAACAGTCGGATCCTACACTTGGCATATAAAAAAGTCCTAATTTTTGCAAAACTACAGGAGCACGCTTTAGAGTTTAGAACGAACTTGTACCTCCAGCCCCTCATTGGACCCTCAGAAATCCCGAGAACGCGCGAGTGTTAGCCTGTCAGTGACCTCATCAAAACCACACCACTAAAGGGGGTCATGAAGCCAAGTCTTCAGACTGCAAGATCGCGCCTGTCCCTCCACTTCACGTCCTCCCCAGCCCGCGATCACCCGAGGACACTCACCTCCTTCTTGAAGATGGTGAACTTGACAGCGCAGCCGTAGCACCTACTCTCCATCCCGGCTCCCCGCGCGGTGCCACGGAGTCCACAGAGTTGAGATCGCGCCCGCCGGGTCCAGCGACCCCGGCCCCTTCACTCAGCTCGGTGCTCGGCCCCCACGCCCACTAGTGCTCGCGCTCGGGCAAAGGAACCCTGACCAGTCGCCCTAGCCGGAGAGCGGCGGCGGCGGGAGCAGGGGCTGCTGGGAGTTGTAGTTCATTCACTACGGCTGAGCCCGCTCAGCTCAGGGGCAGTCACGTCCGCGCAAAACACAATTCCCAGGGGGCCAAGCGCCTGGGTGGGTTTCGGACCAGCAGTCCCCGCGCACGCTCAGCCTCTAGGGAGTTGTAGTCCCGGCTCCAGTCAAGATTCGAACCATGGCGGTGACCAAGGAGCTCTTACAGATGGACCTGTATGCCCTGCTCGGTATCGAGGAGAAGGCGGCAGACAAAGAGGTGAGAACCGCGAGGCGGAGGACCAGATTCCGACCCGCCTAGCGGTCCTTCCGGTCCCGGCGACTCGTCCGCGGTTGGGCCCGGCCTTGGGCGCGGAGGAGCGGGCGGCTGCCTCAGAAGGGGGGCTCCAGACCGCTGCTGGGCCGTAGGAGGACCCTGCCAGGAAGGGGGGCGCTGAGGGGCTCCCCTCACGCGGCCTGCTGGGCTCTCATAGTGGCCCGGGTTCGGGAGCGGCCGCGGCGTGAGCCGGAGAGAACGCGGGCTGCCCTCGTGCGCCTGCGCAGTCCCGGCCTCTGCGTCCGCGGGTCTGAGCTCTGCCCGGAGGCGTTTCATTCACTTTCTCTGCGGGCTGACCGCCTGGGCCGAAGAAAGGCTACGTTTTAAGACTTCTTTACTCCCTTTTCATATCCTCAAATGAGGGAATGAGTTCCACAGAGTGATGCTGATAAAGGTGCCCGCGAGTGGGACTCGAATGAAGCTGTATCTAATATACTTGGGATCTCCCTGTGAATCATGGTGGTGGTTGTAGCACAGTAGGAAGGAGGCTGAGCATTCATCAGATGGAAAATTAATGCCCACGAATGCCCCTGTACTCCCATGCTGCTCTGCCATGGGCTGAGTGACCTTGTGAGGACGTGAAACTCTGGGGCAGAAAAGCAGGGAGACTCACAGAGCTGTGAGCAGGGATGCAGTTAGCCTGCACAGCTGCTCCTGCAGTTACAGCTAAAGTCCCAAGTGGGCTGTAGGGATGTGTATGGAGCACCCAAAGCATATTACACATGTCTCAGAGTCTAAGATTTCAGTATTAATAATGCCTAACAGCTATATAATGCTTACTCTTTGTTGGGCACTATTCTTAGTGATCTATATTTGTAAATTGTTTAATGAGTACTTCATTAATAGTGAGAAATAATGGGGTCTCCTTGGTAGCCTAGGGGTTAAGTCTCAGCGCTGTCATACTATCACCTCTGCTGCTGTCTGAGTTCCTTACCCGGACAGGGAGCTGACCCACATATGGCACAGCTGACCTCTCCTGTCTCAACTGCTGCTCCCCTTAGCAGTGTATTTCAGTAAATCCTCCTGTTGTGTTCCCCACTCTGTCTTTGGTGAATCCTCTCACACACACACACACACACACACACACACACACCCCACCCCACCCCCACCTCTGGCCTACACTCCAGTTCTTCTATGCATAAATAAATAAATAAATCTTTAAAAAATTAGTGAGGGACTCCCTGATGGTGCAGGGGTTAAAGAACAGCGCTGTCAAACTATTGGCAGCCACTGCAGCATGAGTTCCATACCCACAGGCCAGGGAGCAACCTGCATGGCACAGCATACCTCTCTTGTCTTGCCCACTGCTCCCCTCAGCAGTGTATTTCAGTAGATCTACCTGTTTTGCTCCCCTCTCTGTCTCTGGTAATTGCTCTCACCCTTTGCACCTCTGGCCTGTTCCCCAGTTCTTGTATGCATAAATAAAATAAATCTTAAAAAAGAAATTAGTAAGCAATTACTTTGGACATTTCACATCAAATCCAGCCAGGAAATTTAGAACTGTTGAGGAAGGCAATTGTGAAACATTGATGTAAATATTAATAAGAGAAGTTACAGTATCAGATTTAGAAAAAATATTCAACCTCAGTGTGACATGAGTTGGGTGAGAGTAGAGGAGCGACCAGGTATCAGGTGGGGCTGGCTGTTGGCTCGACAAGAGACCAGTGGTGGTTGAGATCCAGTTTTTGCTCAGATGAGATAGGGGTATGTGAGAAGGCATTTTATAAAGGGTAACAGGTGCTGCTCCTGTCTTTTAGTAGGGAAGACACAGCTATGGTACAAGGGATAACATGGTAAGTTTCTTAAGAGGGATATAGACTAAGTGCTCTGGATGTTTAGAGTAGGCTGAGGTTGCTTCTTGTTGCTGTATCACCCGCTGCTCCCCTTAGGAGAATGGGTGGAGGAAATTGAGAAGTCATTTGAAGTCTTGAAGAATGGGCAGTCTTTGGATGTGTAGAGATGGAGGAAGGGAATTCCAAGAAAGGGGAGTTAAATTTATCTGGAACCAAGGCCAAGAAGGAAGGTAAAGGAAAATAAATCTGGGGCCTCCCTCCTGGTACAAGGGGTTAAGCAATGCACTATGAAGCAATCCGCAGCCTCTGCAGCACTAGTTCGATCCCCAGCTGGCCAGGGAGCAACCCACATGGCGCAGCAGACCTCTCCTGCCTCGCCCGCTGCTCCCTCAGCAGCGTATTTCAGTCAGTCTGTCTGTTCTGTTCCCTACTCTGATGAATCCTCTCACCCCCCACACCTCTGGCCTGTACCCAGCTCTTGTATGCATAAATAAAGAAATCTTTTTTTTAAAAAAAAAAGGAAAATAAATCTTGAACAGTAGGTTGGAACCTTTGGATGCTCTGGTTAACTTCATCATAATGGTCACTTGTTGGTAGACAGAAGACCCAGGATCTGGTGTCCTCTCTGCATGGTTCAGTACCTGTCACATTCTTTAGGGGCATCTGGAGGAATGACACATTTAAAATGCCCATATACAAGGAAGGCCTCCTAAACTTTGGTTGTTTGGTCATATAGTCTAGGAATTTTTAATTTGGGGTCCACAGAAAAGCTCTAGGAACTGAGTGAATCCCTGAAATTGTTTGTGTTATTTTCTGTGTATTCATTTTAGAGAGGTGGAGGTAATTCGTATCCAAAAATGTTTAAAAAAAATCCCTGATCTTGGCCAACCTACTTCTGTTACTGATAGTAAAACTGAAGGGCAAAGAGTGTGGTTAGTGTCAGAATTGGGACTAGAATCCAGACTCCCTGATGCCCAGCCCAGGTCGGTGGTCCTTACACTGTGTCACTCAGGCCCTCTCCAGCACCATGCAGCAGTGGTAGTGATGAACACCAAACCATATTTAACTTTTGGTCAGATCATTTCTCTGAAGCCCAGATCCATATCCATTTACCTGTTTGATCTCTCCATTTGGGTGTTTCACAGGGGTCTGAATCTTAATATATCCAAATTGAACTCTAACTTTTCTCTGCAAACCTGCTCCTTTCTTGAACTTCATCTTAGTAAATGTCTCTACTTCCTTTTAGTCAAGCTGGGAATCTGAAATCATGCTTGATACTTCCCTGGCTTCTCACTCCTGCTGTCTAGTTCATTAGCAGGTCCACACGAATCGACCTCCCAAATAGTGCTCAAGCCTTTTCACTCGTCTTCCTCTGCTACCGCTGCCGCTCCAGCCCAAGTCCCCAGAAGCTTCCATCTGAGTGATTAGCATAATCTGCCAGCTTGTCTCCTTGCTTCTAATTTATTCTATTCCGACCTCTTATACCCTCTGATTTGTCATCCTCACTCTGAATAAAAGACTGAGTAGAATTTCTTACTCCTTTATACATGCTTTTTTCCTCTTCCAGGAATACAGTTCTTCCCCTTCTGTTAACTTGGGTTACAGTCACTTATCCCTCAGAGCTCACCTCAAGTGGCGCTTCTTCAGAAAGGCCTTGCCTGTTACTGTCTGTTACAGCAGTGGGCTCTCCTTTCCAGCACTTACTTGCTTGCACTTAGTAGTCATTGTGTGAGTGTCTCACGCATCACTCTCTGCTGGGCTGTTCACTTCTATAGTAGCCCCTTCCTCGGTGATTAGCGCACCGTGGGCTCTTCATAAATATTTGTTGTCTGAATAAAACAGTAGCTACAGAGCCCTCTGCAACAGCTTGGCTTGAGAATCAGGAGGCCTGGGACATTCACTGCCACTCTCAGGGCCTGGGTTTCCTGATATGTAAGATCGGGGAGTTAAGCAAACTAAGACTTCAGATGTCAGTGGCCCATTCCTGTTTTTTTAATGATCCATGAGCTAACAATGGCTTTTACATGTTTAAAATACTGTAAAAAACAAAATAAAAACAAACATGCAAAAGACTTGAATATTTCTTTAGAAAAGTTTACAGGTGGGGCCTCCCTGGTGGTGCAGGAGTTAAAAGTCTCAGTGCTATCAAGTTAACGCCAGCCACTGGGCATGAGTTCCATCCTGACCAGGGAGCTACCCACATGGCGCAGCAGACCTCTCCTGTCTTGCCCACTGCTCCCCTCAGCAGTGTATTACAGTCAATCAGCCTGTTCTGCTCCCCACTTTCTCTGGTGAATCCTCTCACCGCCCCCTAACACACACCTCTGGCCTATACACTAGTTCTTGTATGCATAGATAAATAAATCTTTAATTAAAAAAAATATATATATATACAAGTGACAGTAAGTAGATGAAAAGATGCTTACTACCATTACTCATTAGGTAAATGTAAATCAAAACCACATTGAGGGCCTCCCCGGTGGCGCAGCGGTTGAGTACTGGGTTGTGAAGCTGCCCGCAACCTCTGCAGCGCCAGTTCAATCCCCGGCTTCTCCCCAGCCACTGGAGGAGGGTCCCACATGGCGCGCAGACCTCTCCTGCCGCCCGCTGCTCCCCTCAGCAGTGGACTTCGGTCCTTCTGCCTGCTCTGCTCCCCGCTCTGGCTCTGGTGAATTCTCTCACCCTCCCACGCTTCTGACTGTACCCAGTGCTCGTATAAATAAATAAATCTTTAAAAAAAAAAACAACTTAAAAAAAAAACAAAACACATTGAGATTCCTCTTCACACACATTAACTGAACTTTTATAAAGTAAAAAAACAAAAACAAAAACAAAATCCCCAGAAAGTAGAAAGTGTTGATGAGGATGTGAAGAAAGTGAAACCTTTGTACATTGCTGGTTGCTCAACTATATGAAAACCAGTGTGGTGATTTCTCAGAAAATTAAACAAACAATTGCCATATGAACCAGCAATTTCACTTTGGGGCATTTACCTCAAATAAGGAAAGCAGGGACTCAAACACGTGTTTTTGTTTAATAATGACAGTTTTTATTTAATCCATAAATTTAGAATATAGCTCAGCATACTTTTTTTTAAAACCAGATATATTTTTTTCTTCTATCCTAGTAGTCCTCATTGCTTTCCCACCTCCTTGTCATCCGTATCCCTCCCCGTTTTTGCCCTTCCCTCTTCCCGTTTTGCCTCCTCCTTTTTTTAATTTTTTATTTTTTAAATATTATTTATTTATTTATACAAGCACTGGGTACAGTCAGAAGCGCAGGAGGGTGAGAGAATTCACCAGAGCCAGAGCGGGGAGCAGAACAGGCAGACGGGTCGCCCGGAATCGAACAGGCGCTGCAGAGGCTGCGGAGGCTGC